AAAAAAAAAAAAAAAAAAAAAACATAAAAAAGAGAGTTCCATATAATACACAAAACATACAAAATAAGTATCAATCAATTTTTTATGTTATCACTAAGGCTTCCAGTCTACACTAGGCTATTAGTAGTTAAGTGTTTGGGGGAGGTCAGAATTTATATGCAGGTGCTAAACTGTAGGGGGGCTGCACCCCTAACCCCCAATGCTATTCAAGGGTCAACTGCGGTTCCCTGTTAAAATCTGCCCATAGACTGTTTAGTTATGTCAAGTCATGACGGGGTAATTTGTGTTTTCACTTTAACTTTGTATTTTCACTTGCTTTGAAAGCATTTTCCCCACCTAGGGCTAAGAGTTCACTGAAATTCAAATGAATGAAATTCAAATTGAAATGGACATGGGATCTGATTGGGACAGTAGTTTTCCACTTCAGCTGCACATTAGAATCACTGCTGTAGTTAACACGCTTTTAAAAAAAGATTTTTTGGGGCTCCTGGGTGGCTCAATCGGTTAAGCATCCGACTTCGGCTCAGGTCATGATCTCATGGTTCGTGGGTTCAGCCCCCTGTCAGGCTCTGTGCTGACAGCTCAGAGCCTGGAGCCTGCTTTGGATTCTGTGTCTCCCTCTCTCTCTGCCCCTCCTCTGCTCACGCTGTCTCTATCTCTCTCTCAAAAAAAAAAAAAAAAACATTAAAAATAAAAAAAAAGAAATACTAAAAAAAGATTTTTTAAGAAATACCAATGCCAGAGTCCCTCTTCAGACCAACTGCATCAGAGTAGCTCCAGGTGGGGCCCAGATGCAGTGATTTTTAAAAGCGTCCAGGTGATTCTAAGGAGCAACGAGTTTTAAAACATCAGAGCCAGAAATCTCAGCAAAAGCCAGCAACATAGGTGGGGTGAATGCTGCTGCCTTTTTAAAAAAAAGTTTCCTTACTTATTTTGAGAGAAAGAGAATATGAGCAGGGGAAAAGGCAGAGAGAGAGGAAGAGAGAGAGAGAATCCCAAGCAGGCTCTGCACTGTCCCTGCACAGCTTGACACACGATTCGATTTCACAAACCCTGAGATCATGACCTGAACCGAAATCAAGATTCGGTCGTTTAACCGATTGAGACACCCAGGTACCCCGCTGCTGCTTTTTAGTGGATCTGAATGGCAGAGCCCTGCTTCTAATCGCTAAAGAATCTGAATATCCATTAAACGGATGTTTATTTTGACGTCAAGAGTACAGATGAATAATTTGTCAAGAACTCGTTTATGGCACCCTGACTAAACACACTGGTGGCAATTGTCAAGTACTTTCTTTTAAGGATGAAACACAGCCTCGAACCTCATTTGCCAGGTACTGCCACAGGAAAAATGCTACATTTTGCTCCCTCTGGCGCCTGGAGAACACTGACCTCTGGTTTTAGTTCTAGCACAAGATAACAGTGGGTCACCCGTGGACACAGCGTGATCCTCAGGCCTTTGGGAAGCATCCTTAACACCTGCTCTTTGGAAGTGATAAAGCTTTTTCTAACCAGTAGAGTAAGAGACAGGGAAGCAGAAGTCATTTTTTATTAACGCTTCTTTGGGCCAGATGCTGTACTCAGATATTCCTCATTCTTTTTTAATTTTTAATATTTTAATTTTATTTTTGAGGAAGAGAGAGAGAATCAGAGTGTGAGTGGTGGAGGGTCAGAGAGAGAGGGAGACACAGAATCCGAAGCAGGCTCCAGGCTCTGAGCTGTCAGCACAGAGCCCAACGCGGGGCTCAAAACCAAGCACTGTGAGATCATGACCTGAGCTGAAGTCGGACACTCAACTGACTGAGCCCCCCAGGCGCCCTTAGATATTCCTCCTTCTTACAGCAGTTTCTCCACACTGACCGCACAATGGAGTCACCCTGGGGGTCTTAACCCCCCACCCCCCGCCATGCCAGATCTCACAGTTCGTGAGTTCAAGCCCCACATCAGGCTCTGCGCTGACCTCAAGAAGCCTGCTTGGGATTCTCTCCTTCTCTCTCTGCCCCTTCCCCCACCTAAATAAACATTAAAAAAACCCAACAACCCAGTGCCAAGGTCACAGGACCATTTCAATCAGAATCTGTGGGAGTGGGACCCCAGGCTTCAGAATTTTCTAAAGCTGAGAACTGCTACCTTGGACCCTATTACAAATGAGGTACTGAGGGCTTGCCTGTGGGTCTCCCCCACCTCCATTATGGTCGCCCCGAAGTTCATCTTCTGGCTTCTCTAAGACCGGCAACTGATTATTATGTTCAAGAGGGAGCTCTGACTTGGCGGAGCGTGTTAAACAAGTGAAGGAAGACCCCTGTCCGTGACCGCTCTGTGCTGCAGTTTCAAACGGGGGCAACTGCCAAGCTACCCACAGAGCTGTCTGGGGAGAAAGGCCTTTGGAAATACACACAGTCAGAGACGGGCTGTCTTTCCAGCAGATTAGTTAGGGTCCACTGCCACCTGCTTCTCATTTCATGAGCCCTGCTACGACCTGTGATACCAGCGTCCCATTTCTGCTTAGGGAAGGGGTTGCTAAGAAGGGAGGGAGGTGTCAGAAGATACCAAAATAGGGTGAGGGCGTTCTTCCCGGCTGTCCGGGAAGTCCCGCGGGGCTCTGAGTCTGCTCCTCTAGGACTTAGCACCTCGCCTAAGACAGGTATCCCTGCTGCTCTCCTCCAGCACCCCCAGAGGGAGGACGTGCTTGCACACCAGACACAATGTCCCCTGATGCCACCCACAGGACAGAAGGAGCCATTCCCACCACTGACTGAGGACGCAGAGCCCTACTTGCTGGAAAGCACACACAGGGTCTCCCCAGTTCCTTCAGGGGCAGCCTCTCCCAGAACGGAGGCAGCGCCCTGCCCTCCCATCCAGGTGGATGACGCTGGGACGTGGCTCTAGTCCCTGAGGTGACTGCGGCCCTGTGACATACTGCCCCCTAGGTGCCAGGGTCAGGACCGCCCTAGGAGAGCCCGCCCCTCTGGCCACAGAGGCCCCTGACTTGGCCAGAGGCTGACCCAGTGGAGAAAAGAGTGACTCCATAGTCATCCTAGTGCCTGTTCATACAGAACATTTCCTGGGTGTGCTGTGTCTATACAGCATATTTATATTACATGAGCGTATACTATGAGGTGTTAATTTGCATGTACAACAACATATACAAACAGAAAAATCCTTCCTTGTGCACGAGTAATGGCTACTGGGGGTCAGTCGCCCAGCCCTACGTGTCCAGCAGCTTCTCCCCAAGGACTCATGGCTCTGATTCTGCATGTGTCTGAGGAATGAAGCCCCTTTAAGAAAGACCTGGGACCAGAGGCTGGGGTCAGGGCGTGGGGGCATCGCGGAGATGCCTGGTTACCTCCAAGGGAATGAGCTGGAGGTAACCAGGCATCTTGTTTTGGGCGCCACCTCCTGTCGGGGGATTCCCCAGGGTCCTCACCTGTCCCACAAGCTGCTTCACCCATGGCGAAGGACAAAGGCCCCCGGGGAGGGGGGGGGCGTGGGTGCCCAGGGGGAGGGCGCTGCTAGATCACAGCCGATCTGTGGCCGTGAATCCTGGAGCTGGCGGTGACAAGTACCGCCTGCTATTTCCTTCAGGGCAAGAAGGGGACCCAAACCCCACCCAGGGCCAAGCACAGAGGGGTCTGCAGGGGTTTCCCCGAGAGGGTGGCTCAGCATGACGCAAGACAGCCCTGTCTTCCCTCCTGGGGCCCGTGAGGCATGGCTGGCTCTTCCCATCACATCCTCGCTCTACACTTCTCAGAAGTCACGATTTATCTTCAAAATGCGAGCATGTGTTGCGTTCGACTCATAAAACAATCTTTGGCTCGGGGAGCCTGGGTGGCTCAGTCGGTTAAGCATCCGACTTCAGCTCAGGTCATGATCTCACGGTTCGTGAGTTCAAGCCCCGCATTGGGCTCCATGCTGACAGCTCAGAGCCTGGAGCCTGCTTCAGATTCTGTCTCTCCCTCTCTCTCTGTCCCTCCCCTGCTCATGCTCTGTCTCTTTCTCTCAAAAACTAAGTAAATGTTAAATTTTTTTTTTTTAATTTCAAAAACAATCTTTGGCTTCACAAAAAAGATGAACTATCTTTTAGTTTAATTACTTGGACCTGTTCTCCTAAACTGCCGTGTAGAATAGAACATTCATCCTGTGGCTTCTACCCTGAGGCGTCCCTGCGCACCTCTCCCCTCTGGTCTGAGAGGCCTGAGCCTCCGCTGGCCTTGGTCGTCTCCTCTGACCTGTGGCCCCTTCTAGGGATGAAGGAGCCACCCTCCCGGCCCTGCCTGCACCCCCATGGCCGATGAGGGTCTTAGCTATGTTGCAGTTCTTGCTCGTGAGGCCAGGGGGGCACAGGCATGCACTGTGTCCCTCTGTCTCCTGGCACATCGCACTACACAGAGCTCCTTGGTTCAGGGACTGGCGGGGCTGCGGCTCTCAGGGAGATGCTGAGTGTCAAGGTCACAGCCACCTTGGGTGCAGCCGGGCCTCCAGACTTCGAGGTCGGGGCACTGGGCCCCTGAAGCCCACAAGGCTGGCTTTGGCTCAGCACGTTTCTGGGGTCTCTGTCCCCCTTGGGCACCTGGCCCTGCATCCTGCGGAGGGGGATGGGGTCTCTCGGCCCAGAGGGAGGTGCAAGGGATCCCAAGGCAAAAAGCAGAGGAAAATCATCAGCTTCTGGTGCTTGGTGCCTGGGTTGTGTCAAGGTGAGACTGTGGCTATCGTACAGAGCAGTCCTCTGTACTGGGGTGGCAGTGGGGACTCGAGTTAGGACAGCCAAAATGACACGTCATAGTTCCCTAAATTGTGCAGGTCTTAACCCTGCGTGAAATAAATATCTAGGCATAGATGTCATCAGATTCATTCTCTCCTCTCACGGAGAAAGAAAAACTCCACGGGAAAGTGGCGCCAGTAGAATTTCTAGCGTCCTGTAAATAGTCCTCCTCTGTCCCTCTGCCAAAGCACAGATAGCTGAATTCACATGTAACTGTTCTTGTGATGTAACTCCGCTGTAACAATAACAACCACTAATCTAAGTGTGTGCTGTGTGCAAGGTACGACGCTAAGTGCTTGTTCCGCATATATTTATAACCTGTTTAATTGTCCCTGGTACTAATTCCCATTTTACAGGTGAGGCTCAGAGACGTTAAGAAACTTACCTGAGGCTGCACAGCTAATCGGTAGTGAAGCTTGAATTTACACTGCCTCCTAACTACAGTCTGAACTCCCCGAACACATTGAAAGGAAAAGAAAAAATCCCAACAATACCTGCAACGGTTGCCACGGATTCATCCGTCCCTCCTGGAGGAGCTGAGATGGAAGCATCTATAGGGAAGGTGGCTGTTTGGGCTGTTTGGGTCTCTTCTTCCGAGTGCAAGGGGCTTGAAGACTCGATTTCTAAGTGCGTCTCTGCAGGGCGCTGGGTCTGCTCGGTCCATTCAGACTCTGGGACGCTAGTACCAATGACGACGTCCAGCCCCGACGTGTGACTGGACAGGTCTCCGCTGATTTCAGTCCTGTCTCCAGAAGCCGTCGGAGGGGCTGAAGGCCAGCCTGACGCCTCTGTGCCCACATCACGGGTGGTGGTTGACTCTTCCCGCACTTCTGGGGTGGCCGAGCCCTCCCCGGGGCCTTCTGGAAAGGCCGAGGTGCTGCCGCTCACCGCCAGGCCTGAGGCTCCCTCCACATCAGCGCTGGGGAAGGTGGAGGTGGCTTCGCTCAGGTCAGGGGACCTGGAAGCCCCTCCGCTGGCCTCGGGGGCCACAGACGCCCCCACCCCGGCCTCAGGAAAGGCAGGCGTCTGGCTGGGGCTGGATTCGGGGACCAATCCTACCCCAGACCCGGGGAATGTTGCCGTGGCTCCACTCAGTTCCCCAGACGCAGAGGCTTCTCCACTGGACTCAAAAAGCCGGGGTGTGTGTGTCACAGGGGGTCTTTGGGCAAGTTCCTGGGAAACAGTTGGTTCAGTGATGCCCTCCACGAACTCAGAAGTGATCAAAGTGACTTCCGGAAGTCCCGAGGCCTCCCCGCTGGTGCCCGTGGCCGCAGAAGATTCGCCACTTACATCCACAGTGCCTGAAAAGTCCCCGCTAAAATATGGAGTGCTTGACGGCTCCCCAGTGCCCCCCACCAGCCCGGACTGCAGCCCGCTCTGGTCCAAAACTCCTGAATGGTCTCCAGACACGTCTGGTGCCCCAGAGTGGGCACCACTGAGTTCCATGATGCCCGAAGGCCCTTCTCCTGCTTCTTGGGCTGTTGGAGCCTGGGTCACAGATTCCACCAAAGTCCTATCTACAAGAGAGACGGTGGGGAACCCAGAAGCAAGTCCACTGCCGTCATAGGCTCCCGAGGGCAGGCTGCTCCCAATCTCTGCTCCGGAGGCTTCTCCACTGACTTCAGCTACTCCACTTGGCAGGCCACTGAATTCTGGAGGCTGGGGGGTAAACCCGCTGGAGTCGACTGCTCCAGAAGACCGTCCACTGATGTCCATTATCCCAGACGTGCCCGACAGATCTGCCTCCCCTGAAGGGAGTCCGCTGAGTTCCACAGACCCCAAGCCTTCTTCTTCTTTAAATGTAGTCGGGGTCACTTCAACCAAACTGGTGTCCACAAACGTGATGCCAGAAGATTCACCACTGCCACTCACGGCACTGGGAAGCAGGTCAGGGATTCCGGAGGTTGTCTCACTGAACTCTGGCAGCCCCGAGGGCTGCCCACTGATACCAGGGACCCCAGAGGTTTCTCCACTCAGGTCTGTTATGCCAAATGGCTGACCACTGCCAGAAAGAACTCCAGAAGCTTCTCCACTGACATCCGGTTGGCCAGAGAACAGTCCGCTGAGCTCCGTCACTGCAGATGTTTCCCCAGAGAACTCTGATGGCTGTCCACTGACACCAAAGAATCCAGATGTTTCCCCACTGATATCAGGAGACCCAGATGCTTGGCCACTGAGTTCAGCTCCTGATGGGAGGCCGCTAACTGCCCCACTAATGTCCAGCTCGCTGAAGGGCAGCCCAAATGTTTCTCCAGCACCGCTGATGCCAATAGTCCCCCTCCCTTCCAGCTCACTTGCAGTGGTGGTTGTGACCACTTCCACCAATGTAGTGTCCACTAGGGAGACAGTTGGGAATCCAGAGGGAAGTCCACTAAAGTCAGGTAGGCCAGAGGACGGGCCACTTCCAAGGTCTGCCCCAGAATACTCACCGCTAAATCCAGAGGGAAGGCCACTTGCTTCTGGAGCTTGCCCACTTCCTAGAGTTCCAGAAGGTATTCTGCTTAAGTCCAAGTCTCCGGAAGCTGACCCAATCAAGTCTTCCTTCCCAGAAGGCAACCCACTGAGTTCCTCGGCTCCAGAAGGAGAGATCTCTAGACCCTCTCCTCCAGAAGGAAGTTCACCCAGGCCCTCTACTCCAGAAGCAGAAGTCTCTGGATGACCCTCTACTCCAGAAGGAAGCCCACTGAGGTCCTCTAATCCAGAGGCAGAGACTTCTGGACCTTCTCCAGAAGGAAGCCCGCTGAGGTCCCCTACTCCAGAGGCAGAGACTTCTGGACCTTCTCCAGAAGGCAGCCCGCTGAGATCCCCTACTCCAGAGGCAGAGACTTCTGGACCCTCTCCAGAAGGAAGGCCACTGAGGTCCTCTACTCCAGAGGCAGAAACCTCTGGAACTTCTCCAGAGGGTAGCCCGCTGAGGACCCCTACTCCAGAGGCAGAGACTTCTGGACCCTCTCCAGAAGGAAGGCCACTGAGGACCTCTACTCCAGAGGCAGAGACTTCTGGACCCTCTCCAGAAGGCAGCCCGCTGAGGTCCCCTACTCCAGAGGCAGAGACTTCTGGACCTTCTCCAGAAGGAAGCCCGCTGAGGTCCTCTACTCCAGAGGCAGAGACTTCTGGACCTTCTCCAGAAGGTAGCCCGCTGAGGTCCCCTACTCCAGAGGCAGAGACTTCTGGACCTTCTCCAGAAGGTAGCCCGCTGAGGTCCCCTACTCCAGAGGCAGAGACTTCTGGACCCTCTCCAGAAGGTAGACCGCTGAGGACCTCTACTCCAGAGGCAGAGACTTCTGGACCTTCTCCAGAAGGTAGCCCGCTGAGGACCTCTACTCCAGAGGCAGAGACTTCTGGACCTTCTCCAGAAGGTAGCCCGCTGAGGTCCCCTACTCCAGAGGCAGAGACTTCTGGACCCTCTCCAGAAGGTAGACCGCTGAGGACCTCTACTCCAGAGGCAGAGACTTCTGGACCCTCTCCAGAAGGTACCTCTACTCCAGAGGCAGAGACTTCTGGACCCTCTCCAGAAGGTACCTCTACTCCAGAGGCAGAGACTTCTGGACCCTCTCCAGAAGGTAGACCGCTGAGGACCTCCACTCCAGAGGCAGAGACTTCTGGACCCTCTCCAGAAGGCAGCCCGCTGAGGTCCCCTACTCCAGAGGCAGAGGTCTCCAGGCCCTCGCCTCCAACTTTAGGAACGCTGGGCCTCGTAATTCTCTCTTCTTCGCCCGAGGCCAGTCCACTTTCCACGGGCAGGCCTGAGCCAACTGCAGAGGTGAGACCACTGGAGTCAAGATCTCCAGAGGGCAGTCCACTTGCACGTTCCCCTGAGAGCTGTCCGCTGGAGTCTAGACGTCCTGAAACTTCTCCACTGCCTGTGAAGTCACCGCTGACTTCGGGTGCCCCGGATGCCTCCCCAGAGCCTGGCAGCTCAGTCCCAGCCAGCACCGGGGGGGCGGGTGTGGACGGCTCCTCCCAGGGGAAGGGCTCCTCCGAGGGGCCTGGCTCCTCTGAGGTTGAGGGCACTTCTGTTCCAGAAGGGCTTTCCGTGCTCTCCTCTGTGGCTGCGCCGGTAGGAGGCCATGTTGGAGGGATTCCTAGGAGAAAGGAAGAAGAAAACTGAGGTGTGGATTTAGTAACCCCGCCCCGTTTTAAGCTCATTCCTTCCTTCCACAGTAAGACATTTCTTGAGAGGTGTGTTTAGACATTTTCGAGTGGAACCTTGCTCCGTGTCTGGGGAAGGAAAGGAAGGAGGGGACCAGGAAGCGCCTCACCTGGTCGCCGTGTCCTGTGAGGCTCCGGGAGCGCCATCCCCATGGAAGTAGGGGCCTGGCTCCCATGGAAAGTAATCAAGGTCACCTCTCAGGCACTTCCAGGCTATCATCTCTTTTATCTAATTCCTTGACTTGCAAAGTGTGGTCCCTGAACCAGCAACACCAGCATTGCCTGGGAGTTTGATAGAAAAGCTGATTCTCAGGCCCCACCCCAGTCCCACTGAATCAGGGGCTCTGCAGTCCGGACAGCACATTGTCTTTTTTTTTTTTTTTTTTTTTTTTTACTGTTTATTTATTTTGAGAGAGAGAAAGTGCTAGTGGGGGAGAGGGGCAGAGGGAGGGAGGGGGATAGAGACAGTGAGCACGAGAGAGAATCCTAAGCAGGCTCCACGCTGTCAGCACAGAGTCTGAGGTGAGGCTCTGTCTCATGAACCATGAGATCATGACCTGAGCGGAAATCAAGAGTCGGATGCTTAACCGACTGAGCCACCCAGGCGCCCCAGCTTGTTGTCGTTTTTTGTTGATGTTAATATTTATTTATTTTGGGGAGAGCACAAGCAGAGGAGGGGCAGACAGAAGGGGACAGGAGGACCCGAAGCGGGCTCTGTGCTGAGTGGCTGACAGCAGCAAGCCTGACGCGGGGCTCGAACCCACGCAAGGTGAGATCATGACCTGAGCCGAAGTCGGACGCTCAACCGCCTGAGCCACCCAGGCGCCCCTACATGTTGTATTTTAAGAAGCTCCCCCACGCCCAGAACCCTGACAACACTGATGCCCCCTTCAAGTGTGAGAATCACTCATCCAAAGCCATCCCTCCAAAGTAGGGGAGGCCAGCTGGTGCTGTTTGCAGAAGCACATCAAGTATGTGAACTTTTTCAGTTCTGAGGGTGCTATTACAGAGCGTCTGGAAAACAAGAAAGAAGCCTCATCGTGCTAAGTAATCCTAATTGCATTATTTTCCTTCCACATTGTTTCCTTGGGCATTTACAAAACAACCTAGCTGAGACTGGACCTTCCATGTTCCTTTGGGCTCATTTCTCAGATACAGAACTTGAGCAAAGCAGGCACTAGTCCCACGGCCCAGAGTCTCAGAGGCGGGGAGGGGGTTCAGGAGAGCCGTCATGGCACGCGAGAGGGCTTTCGTTGGACGCATGTGTATACTTCAGGATTGCCACTTACAGTCATGATACAACGTCTCTCTTTTAAATAAATTTAGGTTTCTTTTCAATGCTTATTTATTTTTTTAGAAAGAGAAAGAGAGAGAGGGAGAGAGAGACAGAATGTGAGCAGGGGAGGGGCAGAGAGAGAGAGAGAGAGAGGGAGACACAGAATCTGAAGCAGGCTCCAGGCTCCGAGCTGTCAGCACAGAGCCCAATGCAGGGCTCGAACTCACGAACCACAAGCTCATGACCTGGGCCGAAGTCAGATGCTTATCCAGCTAAGCCACCCAGGGGCCCCATTTTATTAGGCTTCTTTTTAAAAGCAAGTCAACTTTAAGAAAAGGATGTAGAGTTAATAACAGTACAGATGGTTCCTGATATGGTTGATCAGCAAGGTGGTAGGGAACTGAAGTTTGGGAAATGTTTCTATGGGTCCGTTGCAGTCCCTTCCCATGGAATCTCCCACGAGCTGCGGCCAGGATCCTGTGCCAGGCCACACACTGAGGCCAGAGGACCTGGTTATTCTTGTCCTGGTGAAGGGGAGGTAAGGAAAGTGTCACAGGCAGGTGTGGCTGCTGGGTGGGGTCTCTGGGCCAGAATCCCATCTGCTCCGCTGACGCACCCTCACCTTCTGAGTGGAGGGAGGTCTGACTTTGCATTCCTAGCACCTAGACTCATTTCTTCAAATGAACATGGCCCTGGGTGAGGTGACTCTGCTAAGCACACACACGGTACTGTGCCTTTAACTCAGCCTTACCCGGGGGCGCCAGGGTGGTTCAGTCAGTTAAGCATCCGACTCAGGTACTCAGGTCATGATCTCACAGTTCATGAGTTCAAGCCCCATATCAGGCTCGGTGCTGACAGTGCAGAGCCTGCTTGGGATTCTCTCTCTCCCCCCACCCCTCTCTCTGCCCCTCCCCTGCTTGTACTCTTGCTCTCAAAATAAATAAATATATAAATAAATATTAGTGTATCCAAAGGCCCTGAGAAGGTCTGCAGCGAGGAAACCCATCAATCCTTCTGTAAGCCAGCATTTCCCAAGCCTTATGGCCACAAAACACTTTTTCCCAAGCCTTCATCCCATCGAGTCCCATCTGATTTTATCAGGACAGATGGGGCTCAGGAAGCTCTGGCTGGGGATGTCTCCCTGACGACGGACATTGAAGGAGGAGCAGGACAACCAGACAGGTCACACTTTCAACGACCCCTCGGGGTCCTTACCCCTCTATTAGAGATCCTCTCACAACAGAGATTTTAAAAAGTTGGAAGGTAAGAGTGTAAATGCAGGAGGACACAGTGAGAGCCCCCGATGGGCTCAGTGATGGGCGCTGCAGTGTGTCAGTGGGAGACATTAAAAGAAGGGAGCAGCAAGTTCAGGGATGGAGAGAGACAGAGAGAGAGGTGCTGCCCCTTTCTTCCCTTGGCCGTTGTCCTGGAGGCCAGTTGAGGGGCCTGAAGTTGCCCACACCAGCACATTCAGCTAGTGTGACGCAGAGGGCCGGGGACACAGAGCATAGGTCCCACCCCAGGACACACCCCGGAGCCCTAGGCACACACCTGGTGGTGGGGAAGTGCCCGCCGGGGTGTAGGCCAGTTCCCATTCCGTCTGGTTCTCTGGCTCAATGGTGAAGTCTGGGATTGTGGTGGCCTCTCCTGAGGGGACAGCAGCCACACCAGGCACCACCTGGGTGGCGATCCAGTCTTCCACGACAGCGGGGGTGGGCGTGCCACCCTCTTCTTCTCCTGGAGAGGGCGCTGCTGAGACACCTAAAGAGATGAGTGTGGTAAGAATTCCTTCTTTCCGTGACCCACCCCAGGTTGGCCCTTCTCAAGGGGGATCAGGGGATTCTGAGAGGGGCCAGGCGGGTGCAAAAACCTCGCTAGACCTCGACGCCTCCAGCCCCCTAACCCCGTGAGATGGCTCTTGTCTTCCTCACTAAGAGCTGTTGGCATCAATATCAATATGCACACACCATCAGCACACACGTTATTTCAGGGCGGTCTGGGACACCTCTTCTCCAGAATCTATTACACATGCCAGACATTGTTTAAAGGTGTTATGTGTATAAACTCATTTTATCCCACAACAGCCTTATGACAGGTACTATATCATTTAGGGAAACTAAGGCACAGAGTTAAACGACTTGCCCAGGGCCAGTGGCTTATAAGGGGCAGATCTAGTCTTTGAAGGAAAGCACCTGGCACCAGCCTCCGCTCTCAACTACGGCACGATGCTGCCTTTCCTGGGGACAGAAATTATGTTCCAAGTATGGGTCAAAAATAGGCTGCTATTTAAAATCCATGAAGTCACCCCAGCCCTGGAGGGTGAAAGAGGGACTTACTGACTGGGGGTAACTGTTTGGTTTAGGGGAAATCGGAGGTGGGCTTGGTCTGGAAAGAGGCCAAACCGCTTGGCAGTTACAGAAAAGACCGAGTTCACGGAAGGTCAGGGACCGTGGGGGTGCATGGGGAAGAATCTACTGGGAGGCCCGGACAGCGGTAGTGGCACAAAAGCCTCAGCACATCATCCTTTGGGAGGGGTCAGGCTTTCTGACGCTGGCGGAGGAGGGCTGAGCTTTCTCTGACCTGGGTTTTTAAAAGGGGACCCTGGAAGTCTGAGAAACTTGGCAAAGCTCAGGTTTTATTTTTCATTGACTTTGTTTTGAAATAATTCTACATGCACAGGAAGTTACAAAGACACTCGGCTTTCTGATGAATCATCTATAAAGCATGGCTCAGGCTCTGACTACAATCTACGTGCCCAGTCAGTGCATCAGACCAGTGTAGCTCATCCCTTTAAAGCCCCGCCCCTCATTGGCCCCGCCCCCACCGTGGCCCCGCCCCAGACACGCCCCCTGGGGTGTTGGATGACATCACTCTCGAACTCCTGCTGGTAATGAGGTTTGCCGCTCCCTAGGTCCTCAGCAGGGGTCAATTAAAAACCTGAATTTCTGGTGCTTAGTGAGGAGTAATGGAACACTTTGACTCAACTCCTCACAAAATACTTGGAAGCAGGAGAAACTTTGGCAAGGGTTACAAATTAATATATATATGTGTGCATGTGTATGTGGGTGTTATTTATAATGGTAAAGCGACCATTTGCTGAGAAGTTACTATGTCCCAGGCACAATGCAAAGTGTTTTGTATGCTCTATTCCAGTTTATCGGCACAGCAGCCCTTTGAGGTAGGAACTATTGCATCACTATTTTATACATGAAACAGAGGAACGAGAGAGGTTAAGTGACTTGCCCAGGGTCACACAGCTATCAAGCAGCAGAGCTGTAATCAAAATTCAGGTCTACTTGATTTTAGAGCCCAGGCTCTCACGTCTCTCTGCTTGTCTCTGGGGAACTTTAGAAGGATGTACTTGCCTTGGGGTCAACGCCAAGGTTGGTTCTAGAGCTGCCCCTGCCCCAGAGGGACTGACTTTTCCCTCCTTGCTCTGATGGATGGGGACAGTGGGCAGGGGTGAAGGGTGGGCGGGGGTGAAGCCAGAGGAGCACCCCCAGGCAGAAGGGAGGCTGGAGGAGAGGAGAGAACGTGTACCTCGGAAGCAGAAGGCGTGATGGCGGGACAGGGGGTCTGGGAGACCGGTCTGGTTGGGGTAGAGGTAGACCGTTCTCACGCCCGGCTTGTCGCCGCCACAGGAGGGCCTCGGGGTGACGATGGGGTAGCGCAGGCTGCCGTCCGACAGCCAGCCGGCGTAGCACTTTTCCAGGCCCTGGCTCCAGGCGGCGTAGAGCTGGCCCGTGGAGGCCAGTGTGGCGTTGTGGGACTCACAGAACGCCAGCGCCTCCTGGAAAGTGAACTGCTCCGGCCGTGTGACGAAGAACACCTCCCCTGCGGGTAGAGACAGGTGCAGGGGTGACCCTCGTGCCCACCGCCAGAGGGCAGCCTCAGCTCACCCAGGGGTCGGGGCAAGAGAGTTGAGACCCCCTGGTCGCTCTACATGGAAGCAACCTCCCTCCTCTGTTTTCTAGATTTCCCCATCACACTTGGGGACCTGCCCTGCACTCCCTTGGGTGCCTTCCCTCCGACCGCCCTGTGCTCCCTACGCCAGAACACTTAGTATGGAGCACCCGAGTGCTGTAGGCCTGCAGCCCCCACCTCCACCCTGGGGACTCACTGAGGGGACCCGGAGTCATTCTTGGGGTTTGGTCCCCACACCCAGAACTATACCCTGTGCCTGTCTGATGTGGGGGGAGGAGGTCACATTTACTGGACACCTGGACCGGGCACTTCTCATACATATCTCATTTAATACTCCCAGAAACTCTGATATGGGCACGATGAGCCCGATTTTACAGATGAGGAGACTGAGGCCCGGAGAGGTTAAGCAACTTGCCCCAGATCCCCAAAACAAGTGAGTGGCTGTGCTGAAATCTTTCCAAAATAATACTAGCATTTCCCAAATTGGGTTCTGTGGGATAGTAATTTGATGATTGTAATTGAAATGAAAAGACATGAAATGCGACAAAATAAAAGCTCTGCTGTTGAATAAGCTTGGGCACTTGGCTAAGCAGAGTTAGAGGTTTTTCTATCGCAGGACTTCTCAGAGCCTTTCATTTGTATCAGGGCATTGGGACTCTACGCAAGGCAGGTGGTATACACCTCGCCTGCAATCCTGGGGGACCCACAAGACCCATTCCAGAGGGAGAGAGGGAGCTTGGCCCGAGACAGGGGCTGGGCCGGCCTTTCCGCCCCTGGGTGGGAAGAAAGCTCGGTGGACGGTAATCCCCCCTCCTCTCTGTGTCTCCCCATCAGCCCCCTGCCTGGCTGAGCCCCAAGTGCGAGAACGTGGCCTGTACCCTCGAGCCGGTCCACGTAGCAGTAGACATCATAGGTTTCTGACGGTGGCTGCACGCCGTAGGTCCTGACCCCTGGGCTGCTGTCTTTGTCACCCACGCACGGGGTTCGTGGGCTCACAATGGGGTATCTGCAAAGGAGAGCAGGAAGGGCACATGAAGGCAGGGGCCCAGGGTGAGGCTGGCAGGTCTCCTGGGACTCGGGCAGGGTGTATCTTCAGTGACAGCAGGGACAGAGGGAGCCCCGTGTGCTGCAAGCTCCCTGTGTGGCTGGGGGAAGGGTCCGGAGGCCCCTGCGGGGATTCCTGGCTGCAGAAGGGAGCCGGTTATATGGAAGGGCATTGGGTCAAGCTGGAGGGGACCTTGAGGAGAGATTTTTCCCTTTCTGTTCCTTGGGGGTCAACGACCAAGAGCTTAATGTCACCTGGGACCCTTTGGCACCCACTCAGAATAATACGCCTTGGTTCTGGGGGGAGAATTAGGGGAGCAGCCACGGGGTCATTAACTCATTATTGCATGGCAGATCGAGCCCCGCTCTGCACTGGGTGCCGTGATGGGCTCTGGCTCCCCACGCCCGGCCTCTCGGGGCTGGTTTTCTGGGTTGGGATGGGGGCGGGGCTCATCCTCCGTCACCTGACAGTTTGGTCTTGCAGCCAACCGGCGTCGCATTGCTCGTAGCCCGCTTCGTAGGCGGCCTGGAGCTGCTCCGGGGAGGCGATCACTGCCCCTGTGCGCAGGCAGGCCTGCTGGGCCTCCTCGAAAGTCAGTGCGTAGCGGGCAGAGCCTGGGCGGTAGTGGAACACGACCCCTGGGCAGGGAGGAGAGGAAGAGGAGACACAAGGTAGGCTCAGGGCAGGGACCGGATACCCCATGGGGCCCGGGCCTCAGGTCCTCATCGCTTTGAGGGTGTGGAGGGAGCCCTGGGTCCTTGCAGAGTGACTTCCCTTCGTCCCCTCCTTCCTGTCCTACTTCTGAGCCTATTCTCAACCAAGCTGGTTCACTGGGCTTGTTCAGGCTGCTCCTGAAATCCATCTCCCTGAGAAAGTCCCTGAAGACTCTTCTGCCCTGGGGTGTCCCCAACCTTGCTCTTTGGGCTTCTTCACTCCCAGGCTGCTCCTTCGTCCTTTTACTCTTTAAAACAAATGCGTTGTGGGGCGCCTGGGTGGCTCAGTCAGTTAAGCGACCGACTTTGGCTTGGGTCATGATCTCATGGCTTGTGAGTTCGAGCCCCACATCAGGCTCTATGCTGACAGCTCGGAGCCTGTAGCCTGCTTCATATTCTGTGTCTCCCTCTCTCTCTGCCTCTCCCCCACTCTCTCTCTCTCTCAACAATAAACAATAAAAAAAATTAAAAAAAAAACAAATGCATTCTTTTTTTTCTCATTACAAAAAGAATAAACGTTCATTACAGAACATTTGGGAAATACAGACAGGCCTACAGAATACATCAGTCGTCAGCATTTCTTCCACTTGGCCCAGGGCCCAGGGGGTGGGCGGGCCGCTCTGAAGGCTGCTGCGAGAGTTTTTGTGGGTGTGCACTGGGCACATTCTGGGGGGTGTCCTCCTGGCTATGGCCAGTTTCCAAAGGGGCCCTGTCCTTGAGCCTCCCCCTTACTCAGCCTTTCCTGTTATATCCAGCTGCACACACATTTGTTTCTGACGCTTCCCGGGGTAATCGGCCAGGTCATGTCACAGCTGTAGATGCCCCTTCTGATACTGTCCCCCATCCTCTCTTCCGTCCTGTGGCAGATGCTCATGTGTCCGTTGGCACCTTCCCACATGGTGGCCAGAGGGGCTCTTTCCGGTCCTGGGCCAACCCTGGGACCCAGCCGTCCTTGGCGTTACCCCAAAACTTCTAAACAATTTCTCCTTCCCAATATATCGTATTTATCTGGGCAACTCAGGCTGAAAGCCCGCTTGGTGGCATCATGGATGTGACGGCGGCAGACAGCGTCTATTTGCTCTTCCCCCAGGAGGGGACACCACGAAGGCCCTTGGGAAAGCCACCCCACACTGTCCCTCTGGTTCTTGGATGGGAGCACGGGGAACAACTGAGCTCTATGTGACGTGACATCTAGTCTCCAGATATTTCTCAAACAGCTGGAATGCCATCATCCTAGCTCGGAGGTTGGCAACATTTTCTGGAAAGAGCCGGACAGGATGCATTTTAGTCTTCATGGGCTCAATGGCTTCTGTCACAACTACTCAACTCTGCTGTGACGGTCCCAAAGTGGCCACAGACAGCACGTGAACAAACAGGTGTGGCTTTGTTCCAACCAAACTTCACCTGTGGACGTCGAATCTTAAGTTTTATATGATTTTCGCTATACGTCACAGAATATTATCCTTGCTTTGACTTTGTCCCCCGACTGCATAAAACTGTAAAAGTATCCCTAGTTTGTGGGCCATAAAAAAACAGGTGGCAAGCTGGATTTGGCCATTGGAGCTTGGTTTGCTGACCCTTGTTCTGGAAGGCCAGCGCTGTGAGAAGCCCCGGGGTCACCTGGCGTAGAAGTTTTCAAGCGGCTCTATTCTTTGGGGGTATCTGACGGGGCAAGAAGGGCCCCTGGAACAAAGAGGCCCAGTTCTTCGTTTGGCTTCACCTAGACCCACGTGGCATCTTTACCTGCTTGACACATATTCTGGTTTCTACCTGTAACTTCATTGTAACCTTTCATTCACTGTAGCTTCTGTGGCAAAAGAGTGTGGAGGTCGCTGCTCCGGCTCCGGTCCATCCACTTGTTTTACGAACAAGGAGAACCGAGTCTGGGGGCGCCTGGGTGGCTCAGTCGGTTGGGCGTCCAACTTTGGCTCAGGTCATGATCTCATGGTTCATGGGTTCAAGCCCCGCATCAGGCTCTGTGCTGACAGCTCAGAGCCTGCAGCCTGTTTCAGATTCTGTGTCTCCCTCTCTCTCTGACCCTCCCCTGCTCATGCTGTCTCTCTCTCTCTCAGAAATAAATGAAACATTACAAAAAAATAATACAGATCCCTAGGCCAAGTTCTTTCTGCCGCCCCCACCCCCCAGCCCCTGCACAGCCCCCTGAGGGACGGGCACTTACCCCCTGGCAATCGTGGCCGCCCGGGAACCTCAGTGGCACCTGGGACTGCGGTCACCTGCACGACATGGTCCTCGCTGGTGAAGGCGGTGAAGGCCAGGCCAGGCGTGGACTCCTCGGGGACACCCCAGGGCCTGGTGGCCTCTCCAGTCCTGTCCTCAGCCTCGGGGAAGGCAGTGGCTCCCACTTCGGGGACAAATGTGAAGGGCTCCTCAGGCTCCGGGTCAGTGGGGGACATGTCAAAGATGGGTTTCACAGTAAGGATCACGTTGCCTCGGGCTTCACCCTCAGTGACGTTTCGGGGGAGGGGCAGCTCCACAGCAGGCCAGGTCACCGTCTGGATGGTGATGTCCTCCTCGCCACCCAGCCCGAAGAAGTTTTCTGGGATGTCTATAAAGTCTTCACCTGGGGGCGGGGGGGTGGGGAAAGACCAGCTTTAGGGGCTCAGCCTGGGGCCGGGGGGAAAGACCAACTTTGGGGGGAAAGACCAGCTTTAGGGGCTCGGCCTGGGGCCAGGGGGAAAGAGGGAGACGAGCATCAGAGCCGCCGCTTCCCTGCCCGGGGAGGAAATCTCCTGGAGCCTCGATGCCTAGTCGAGCCCTTTGCGGGTGGCCTCCACTCTGCACGTACTTGTTCTAGAAGGCCTCAGCTTCCATGTTGCAAAAGAGTGCAAAGTCATCATAGCAAGAGGTACTGGCCACGCAACTCACGCAGCTCACGCAGCTCATAGAGCCAATCCAGCTCCAGCATCCCTTCCTCATCAGCACCTGCTGCCCCCTTGCCGATTGTAGGTACCTTGCTGACCCTCTGATGTTAATAACTAGCCAGCAGGATGTTGCAAATCAGTAACAAGGTGGAAGTGGAAAATCTTGTCGAAGATGCGGGAGCTCACTAAACGGATGAAAGTGACCTAAGTCAGCTGCGTGTCTCAGTCAGGAGCAAACGGGGCTCTGGCAAACGACCAGTCAGTAATTTAAGAAAGAGCTACCACTTCGAAAAAGCTGGTTAGGGTATGGAAGGTTAAGAGAGGCTTTGGGGAGGGGCACCTGGGTGGCTCAGTCGGTTAAGGGTCTTACTTAGGCTCAGGTCATGATCTCATGGCTTGTGGGTTCAAGCCCCACATCAGGCTCTGTGCTGACAGCTCAGAGCCTGGAGCCTGTTCCAGATTCTGTATTTCCCCTCTCTCTCTCTGACCCTCCCCTACACACATTCTGTCTCTGTTTCAAAAATAAATAAACATTAAAAATTTATTTTAAATAAGAAAGAGAGGCTTTGGGGAAAATCCTCATTACTTTTGGGAAAATCCTCATTACTTTTGCAAAAATAGCCCTCTTTGTGTAAGATCAGCCGCGACGGTCAAACGTGAAGTGAGCTATGCCATCGCACTGTCAACCAATTTTATCATAAAGTGATGCAGCCCCACATTACTGGGCTTTTCCCCCGCTCTACGAATTACACACAATTGTGACTCTAACCTAGACTGTGTGGAATAGTAGAGAAAAACCTTATTTTTAAAAGTTTTAGTCTAAAATTTCAAAACAAACTGCCTGTCAAACCTCTCCCCTTGTTCTCTTCAGTCACAATGGCCCTTCTTTTCAAGCACATTTGCTTTATGAGGGTAATGGCGCCCCCTGTGGGCGTGGCTCCAGGTCAGGGCCCCACCACCTTCCCCTCAGACAGATGCGGAAGGGGAGGCTTTCCCCCCGCTGCCCAGTGAAGGTGGCAGAGCTGTGGTTCAAATCTGAGAAAGCACAGACTCTGAAGCTCGTGCTGTTAACCCTATTCTGAGCTGATGAGGAGACAGGGCTGGAGGCTGGCACCTACGGTGGTTCTACTTAGTTCTTCCAGGAGCTGGTGAAAACGGGGGGTTCTGGGGTGCCTGGGTGGCTCAGTCGGTTAAGCATCCAACTTCGGCTCAGGTCATGATCTCACGGTTCGCGAGTTCGAGCCCTGCATCGGGCTCTGTGTCAGCTTTGGATCCGCTGCCTCTCTCTCTCTCTCTCTCTCTCTGTTCCTCTCCTACTCTCGCTCACTTGCTCTCTCTCTCTCTTGCTCACTCTCAAAAAGAAAGAGGAAATGGGGGGAGGGATTGCTGAAACATGAAGTTCAGGTACCCTGTGGCCCCTTGAAGGGGGAGAAGCCAAGCCCCCCTCCTCTGGGCCCCAATTTCCACATCGCCCCCCCCCTCCAGCGCCCCCGCCAGCGCCCCCTCCCCACCTGTGTAGCAGATGGCGTCGTAGCGGGACGAGGGGTCGGGGTAGCCCGTCTGGTTGGCGTGCACGTAGACGGTCCTCACGCCCAGCAGGTTGCCCCCGCAGTTGGGCCGGGCCTTGGAGATGGGGTAGCGCACGCTGCGGTCGGCCAGCCAGCCGGCGCTGCACATGTCCATGCCACTCTGCCAGGCCAGGTAGAGCTGGCCCGTGGTGGCCAGCCGGGCGCCCAGCCGCCGGCACTCAGCACCTGCCTCCTGGAAGGTGAACTTCTCCGGGGACGTCGCGTAGAAGACATCGCCTGTGAAGGACGGGATGGGGGGGGGATGTGGGAGAGTGAGGACCTCCCTCCCCGCTCCTCCCCTGCGTCCCTGGCCAGCCCACATGGCTCCCAGGATCCCAAATCCTGCTGTAAAGCACCCTTGCCCGCACTCTGCTGTGCACCATCCTCCTCTGGGGGCATCCGTCCTCGGAGGTAAGCATTGCCCACACAGGCCAACTTCTTAAAAAATTCACATTCGGATGGGAAGGGCAGACATTGGACTTTGACCCTGAGAGCAGTGCTCCCAAACTGGGGTGTCTAGGCCTGCAGCGTCTGTAAGGGCATTAGTGGGAGCTTCTGAGCTCTTTTTACTATTAGCAAAACCCTAAGAAGGTTGTCGGGGGGAGGGTCAGGGGTGGGCGGTGGGCATCTGTTCGCGGGGAAGGTGCTGGTGGGCCCCGCTCACTGGCAGCTCTGATGGGCAGGGCCCAAGAATGGGAACACAGCTTGCTCCCTCATAGGCTTTGGGCCCAGCGGCGAGAGTGAGGGGATGGAGCCCAGTGGTGAGAAGGGGGGGGAAGGGGGCTGTCCCTGTCTTCAGATGAGCCAGGTTGCCAGGTCTTATCCTGGGAGGAGCTTCGAACTTGGGTGAGGCCGGGGTGGGGGCCGAGGCTGGGGTCTGGAAGAGGGGTCATGGGTGCAGATGGGAGAAGAGAGGTCATCCACATGCCTGGGTGACTCGGGCAGCTCTGACTGTGACCAAAATCAGCAGCCTTTACAAAGCAGAGAAAGACTCCAGCTCCCTTCCCCCTGCCCCCGGGGCCCCCTAGAACCAGCCCCCTGGGACCGCCTGGGTCGGGCTGGGGGCCGGCAGCGGGGAAGCTGAGGGAGCGCAGTGGGGCAGCCAGCTCTCCTGGGAACCACGCTTCTGTTGGGCCCACCGTGGTGTAGCCTGGGTGTCCTTGGTGAGTGTGGCTGGGCTGGTGCAGTGGACGCTGGGACAGTCAAAGCAGCTGGGGACCCGGGCTGGGAGGGGCCATCCCAGGGGGGAGACAGAAACAAGCCTTCTTGGGCCCAGTAGTGGTGCCAGACACTTGGCAGGTCCCTGGGGCCCCTGAGGCCCTTTCCCAAGTGGACAGCGAGGGGACCTGTAGTCCCCTTCCCTCCCCCACTCTCCCCTCCCCCACTCTCCCCTCCCCCACTCTCCCCTCCCCCACTCTCCCCTCCCCCACTCTCCCCTCCCCCACTCTCCCCTCCCCCACTCTCCCCTCCCCCACTCTCCCCTCCCCCACTCTCCCCTCCCCCACTCTCCCCTCCCCCACTCTCCCCTCCCCCACTCTCCCCTCCCCCACTCTCCCCTCCCCCCCTCTCCCCTCCCCCCCCCACTCTCTCCGTGCATGGCAGAGGGGTTGAGTATGGGCTGCAGCTGGGCCAGAGCCCTGCCCCATGGGGACCCGTGTGATCCCGAGGGTCCACGGGGAGAAGGGCACAGGCGGGGGCTTTGGGGAAGGGCGTGGGGCCTCACCCTCCATCTCCTCGGCGAAGCAGTACACGTCATAGGTCTCATTGGTGTCTCTGATGCCGTATGTCCTCACGCCGGGAAACTCATCTTTGTCGCCATAGCAGCCTTCCCTCGGAGTGTGGATGGGGTACCTGCCAGGGACCCAGAGCGGGGGGGCGACCTTCAGCAAACAGAAGGGGCCTGTGGCCTGTGCCCTGGTACCCTCCCTCCGACGCCGGAGCAAACGGTGACTCGCCGACGTGCTTGCCAGCATCTGCCCCAAACACGTGGACCGCTTGTTTTTATGTTTTTTTCCCAAGCTTTGTTGAGATGCATGTTTTCACGGTTCGTGGTGACTGGGGGCAGCCCCCTTCACCGAATAGCTACTGGTCCTGACCATGCTGTCACAGGGCCTGCAGACCTTTTCTGTAGAAAGGCCAGATGGTAAATATTTTAGGGCTTGCAGCCTCTAGGGTCTCAACCTGACCGCTCAGTCCTGCCCCCGTGGGGTGAGGCAGCCACAGGGCCTCCACACAGCTTTATGCACAGAAACAAGGGTGTGTTGGATTCGGGCCGTGGGCCATCATTTGCTGACCCCTGCTCTGTATCATTTGAGTCTCGCGTCAACCTAGTAAGGCGAGTGCTGTAAAGACTCCATTTTAACCTGGAAGAAACAGGGGCCCAGAGACGTTAAGCAGTTTGTCCAGTGTTACACAGCTGCTAAGGGCCAGAGCTGTGGTCCGAGCCCAGCTGTTTCTGAGGTGGAGGAATGGGTCCTCGCACTGCGCTAAGCTGCTGTCTGGTTGTATTTTCCTTCGAGCGGGTCTTGTGTCCTAAAATCTCAAAGATCTACCCCAAGATTGCAAAGATATTTTCCTTTGTTTTCCTCTGGAGGCTTTGCAGTTCTAGTTTCTCTCTCTCTCTTTTTTTTTTAATGTTTTATTTATTTCTAGGAGAGAGAGATAGCGTGAGCAGCGGAGGGTCAGAGAGAGAGGGAGTCACAGACTGAAACAGGCTCCAGGCTCTGAGCTGGCAGTCAGCACAGAGCCCGACGCGGGGCTCGAACCCACGAACCGCGAGATCATGACCTAAGTGAAAGTCGGACGCTTAACCGACTAAGCCACCCAGGGGCCCCAGTTCTAGTTTTTCTCTTGAGAACACAGATCCCTCCTGAAGGGATGCCTCGTCCTGCTTAACCCGCATGATCTCACTGACTGGGATCCCTCAAGGGCAGAGCTCTGTCTGTCCAGCTGGGCTACCCATCCGTCAGCAGCTGTACTTGGTGGGTGGGGGTGGGGGGTGGTATGTGCCAAAAAGCTTAATTTATGTATATCTTGCATTATTAAAAACAACAAGGGGCACCTGGGTGGCTCAGTTGGTTAAGTGTTTGACTTCGGCTCAGGTCATGATCTTGCAGTTCATGGGTTCGAGCCTTGGGTCAGGCTCTGTGCTGATAGCTAGGAGCCTGGAGCTGCTTCAGATTCTGTGTCTCCCTGTCTCTCTCTGCCCCTTCCCTGCTCTCTCTCTCTCAAAAATAAACATAAAAAAACCCCACAAAAAAAGTAAAGCAGCTTACAAAAATACACAAAACACCAAGGTTTAAAGGACCAGTGAAGAAATCACGGCACAGGGGAATGTGGGTAGGAAGGGGGATGATGTGTAATTTGCACGGAGCAAATGATCACGGAGGGCAAGGCTACTAGCAGCTTCTCACTCTGCCGCAGGGCGGTATCAGCAGGATTTGGACAGGTGGTGGGGTGCCGTGGGATTCCCATAAGCAGAGTCACCCGACACCCCAGAACATGTCCTGGTTCCCTGGGAGATCCCACAGGGCCATGTGTGAGATGCACCGCCCCGGGCACCTTTGCTTTACTGCAAATTACACTGTATACTCAAATGAGTACAATAAACCCCATTTTTTTTTCTTTAAAAAAAAAAAAAGTAAGGCACATAGGGGCACGTGGGGGCTCAGTCAGTTGAACATCCGACTTTGGCTCAGGTCATGATCTCACGGTTCGTGGGTTCGAGCCCCACATCGGGCTCTGTGCTGACAGCTCAGAGCCTGGAGCCTGTTTCAGATTCTGTGTCTCCCTCTCTCTCTGCCCCTCCCCGCTCTCTCTCTCTCTCTCTCTCTCTCTCTCAAAAATAAACATTAAAAAAAAAATTTAAGGCACATAAAGGCCTTCTGTGCAAGTTCTGTATTATTTTAAAATTCCTATCGGCTAATAAAAGTATTTCCACGGCAGCACTGGAGCTTCTGGAAAAGCATGCGATGATCTTGCTGTAAACAGAGTACCGGAAACGTCATTCTGTCTTCCCACATAGCACAGCCGGACACTCCCAAAGTCGCCTGTTTCTGAACGATGACGGAAGCGCTGTTACCGCTGGCCAAGGCGTTACTCCAGCCCCACCCGAGGCCGGCCGCGGGGCTCGGCGCAGGTCAGTGTTCCAGCCCGTCGCCCTGCCCCGGGCGGCCCTGGGGCTCACCTGACAGTCTGGTCGGCCAGCCAGCCGGCGTCGCACTGGTGGAAGCCATCCTCATAGGCAGCCTGCAGCTGTTCGGGTGTGGCAATGACAGCGCTGTTCTGCAGGCAGGCCCGCTGCGCCCGGTCAAAGTCCAGCGTGTAGCGCGTGGAGATGGCTCTGTAATGGAACACAATGCCTGCAAGACACGCGTGGGCGGGAGAGCAGGTCAGGCACAGCCCCCGGCACCAAAGACCCCGACGAGTTGTGGCCGGAGTCCCGACGGGCCTGAGGGACCTCTGCCCTGGGCCTCTAGCTCACGCCTAGATCTCCCCTCCACATTCGCATGGGGCCCTTCTGCCTGTGCAGAAATACCTCCAGTAATGGGGACCTCACTACCTCACAAGGTATCTTTTTTGAATATCTATGATTCTGATAATCAGAAAGTCCTTTGAATTGAATTAAAATCTGCCTCCTTTTAATTTTTTTTGCCACTCCAGGGCCTCATCTTTTCTCGGGGGAAATTCAAGACACTTAGAGCCTCAGCCCAGGGACATCCTAGTGGGAGCCATGTCCTCAAGGCAACCAAACGCCCACAACCATTCCCTGTGGGCCATCCAGGGAAGGGAACCAGAGAGACTTCATCCTTTTCTCTGGCTTCTGGAACCTAATGGGGTTGGAGTGGGGGCTGGGGGAGGGAAAAGACCCCTGGATGAAGAGTCAGGAGACTGCTCTGGCTCACTTCCAGGGAAACTTCAGGCAGATCACTTAACCTCAGTTTGCTTGTCTGTAAAATGGGGAGGAAGAGCACAAGGCCCACTGAATCATGGGATTGCTGCGAAGCGCAAACTTTTATTGACACGTGACTGTGGCTGGGACGTGTTTAATTCCCTCGAAGTCCAGAGAGGATGACGGTACCAGCTCCGTGCTACAGGGGCAGCAGCTGATGCTAACTGACTCCACTGGGGGAGGTGCAAGCTGGCGGGGGGCTGTGGTGGGGGAGGGGCAGCTGGGATGTGAAAACCAGCCTGCCTGGGTCCACAGCCGTGAGGATACTGTTCTGGTTCTTTCCACAGGTGAAAGAGCATCCCTGTGCGAGGTTCTTACCTTTCACCACGACCTCCAGGGTCGCCTCGCTGTCCTCAATGCCATGCATCACCTCACAGCGATAGATCCCCGAGTCATTGGAACGCAGGCTCTGGACTTCCAAGGTGGCGTCGCTGGGGATGGCTGGGTAGTTGGGCAGCGAGACCTTGCCTTGGTAGGCACTGTTGACCCGCACCTGCCCGTCCGTGGCCACCAGCAGCACCACCTCCTTTTCCTTAGAAATGCGGCTCCACTTGATTCTCGGCGAGAGGGGGGCGGTGGAGGGGGCGGTGGTCACGGGGTGCATGGGGTCGATGAAATAGCAGGGGATGGTGATGGAGCTCCCCAGGAGGACCCGCAGGGGGGATGGTTCAGGAATGCTGACACTCAGCGAGTTGTCAGGGTCTGTGGGGGAGAGACAGGCCTGTGAGTGCCGAGAGAGGACCACCCAGCCCTCCTGTCCTTTCCGGGAGTGACAGAAGCCCATGAGCGTGTTTGTCTCTATGATGGGGACACTCCTGTGCCTTCGGGAATCCCCAGGACACCTTCCCACACCTTTTCCAGAACAGCCCTCCAGGCCATAAGACAGGAACACTGGAGCCGGGAAAGGGGTGCCGTCGAGGGCTGGGCAGGTGAGCTTCTGAGATGAGATACCCCCCTTTCTCAAACTGGGGTACCCCAGGGGATGCCAAGCCACAAGACAAACGGGACCCATCTTCTCGGAGTGACAGCTTGACTCAAAGATTTTGGGAAAAAGTTATTTGGGGGCAGGAAAGTTATTGTGTGGAAGGAAAAAAAAATCTACACAACGTTTAAAGCTCAGATCCTGACTCTGTTCAGGGACAAGCATTCTCTTCCGCTGTTGGGGAACGGGGGGTGGGGGGGCTGGTTGCAGAAGCATCAGAGAAGAGCAGACATTCACGTATGTCCCCAGAGAATCAGACCGGGGTGAGTGTGGGCGTGGGATACGATCAGCTCCACCGAAAGTCACAGGGAGTCTTAGTAGGAAACACACAGCGTGTTGGCCAAATCGTGTTAGAATTAAGAGATCCTCCAGGGATGGGAAGGAAGCGGCCTTTGCAAAAATAGCACCTTTCACGGCGAGTCATACACTTACGGGACCCCTCTCCGCCCCCCCCCGGGCCCCCCCCCCCCCCCCCCCCCCCCCCGCCTCGAGAGCCTACAGGCTGAAAATAAAAATGTTTCAGATATTTGTGGGTGATAGATACACACCAGGGCAAGGAACGGGGTGCCAGGAATGTCTGGGGTCCAGCCCTGACCTTTTGATGTCCTGGGCAACCACCCCCAGGCCCTTCCACAAAAATCTCCCCCTGGAGGCTCAGCCCAAGCCCCGCGACACGGCATGGCTCAGCGCTGGCGCTCCTCCGGGGAGCCCTGAAAGGGACGGCAGTGTCCAGCTCTGCAGGTTTTAAAGCTCTGAACCAACCCGAGGGACAAACCACCCATGTTACAGCCCAGGGCCGGGTATTCGTGGGTCCCAGAGCCGGAGTACAGATGGAGACCCAAAGAGCCTGCGTATAAATATTTAAACGCCATAAATCAAGGCCACAGGTTGTTAAATAAAATATGTTCTATCTTGCTATTTGACAGTGATACCTTTCAGAAGGAGATCTTAGAATCGTTGGATTCCTGGCAGTTTGGGATTGGGTGGCCAAGTGGGAGGCCTACTTCTCTTTTGTCGCTTCCCTGCCCCGTGAGGGCTCCGTGCTTATCCCAGCCCTCACCCCCCAGCTCCGTCCACACTGCAAACAAACAGCCACCCCCTGATCCCTCCCACAGGTCTGGGGCGGCTTACACTGGGGGCATGGTCCCCCGTCTAGGAGGAGGGGCCCAGAGGAGAGACCCACATATGCCTGGAAGTGGCTTGGGTCCACTTGGGCAGGGAATCTGGGGCATCCTGGGTACTCAGTGTGGTCTAAAGGGGGAGCATAGGCCTGTGTGCACATGGCTTCTTGGCCCTACAGATTGGCCGGAGGAGGGCCAGAGGCAGGCCTCTACAGCGCATGGCTCAGAGCAGGGGCCTCTCCTAGATACAGCCCACTTCGGGGATGCGGGCTGCGAAGCCCACCTCGTGCCCGCCGCACGTAAGAGGCCACCCGGGGTCTTCCCGAGGACGGCTTGCCAAGATAAACAAAGACCCTTGTGATTTGTCCGGGGGGGCAGGGGGGACTTCTGTCTGACCGTGTCTCAAGCAAGTTTCTCCTCTTTGATATTCCAGCCGATCCTCCCTTGGCGTCTTTTCCTCTTTTGGCTTATCCATACCCTGCCTCTGCCCCAAGCTCAACGTGTGGGAATTTGGAATAAGATCCACAGAGGGGAGACTGGGAAAATGGGCACCTGCCCGGAGCCCTCCCCCTCAGGCTCTCTGTCCATCCTGGGGGGCAGCAGGGAGAAGTATTACCCGAGCAAGGGCTCCTGGACACGCGCGTGTGTGTTCTCGCACACCGGCACTCATTCCTTGCGGTTAGCCTTGACCCTGGGAGCAGCAGCACTGAGTTCAGGACCCAGCACCCGGAATCCAGCCTCCGGTGCCTGCTGGCTACGTGAGACCCACATGGGAATGTCCTCACCTGAAGCTTCTATGGTGCTGGCTGCCGTGATGACCCTCAGAGTCACAAACACCAAGAGTAAAGTGGTCATAGTTCACCTAGAAGAAGGGAGGCAGAGGTGTTAGGTTCGGCTATGGAGAGGCTGAGGGTCACGGCGCACAGGACACAGGGAAATAAGCTCCACGTGCAAGGATCTGCAGTCCCATCGAGATAAAGAGGCTACAGGTGGTGGGAGGGATGCCTTCGGCAAGGATCCTCGCTTCACAAAGCCTTCACGGATTTCTCGGTTTAATTACACGTGGTAAAACCTCCTCCTTTCTTTTCTAGGCAACCTCCCAGCATCTAATCTGCAAAGGCTTACCCCGAAGGACCACCATGATGCTTGATCGTACGTCAGCTTGACTGGGCCCTGGGGTGCCCAGATATTTGTTCAAACATTATTCTGGGTGTGTCCGTGAGGGTGTTTTTGTCTTGACTTTTTAAAATTTATTCTTTTTTAAAAAAATGTTTTATTTATTTCTGAGAGAGAGACAGCATGAGCAGGGGAGGGTCAGAGAGAGAGGGAGACACAGAATCTGAAACAGGCTCCAGGCTCTGAGCTGTCAGCACAGAGCCTGATGCGGGGCTTGAACCCATGAATTCTGAGATCATGACCTGAGCTGAAGTCGGACTCTTAACCGACTGAGCCACCCAGGCGCCCCCTAAAATTTATTCTTGAGAGAGAGAGAGAGAGAGAGAGTATGAGCAGGGAGGGGCAGAGCGAGAGAGGGACACAGAATCAGAAGCAGGCTCCAAGCTGGCAGTCAGCACAGAGCCCGACGCCGGGCTCGAACTCACAAACAGTGAGATCATGACCTGAGCCGAAGTCGGACGCTTAACCGACTGAGCCACCCAGGTGCCCCTGTAAGGGTGTTTTTGGAAGAGATGGACATTTAAGTTGGTAGACTAAGTAAAGCCGATTGGCCTGGTAACATGGGTGGGCCTCATCCAATCAGTTGATGGTGTGAATAAAACAAAGAGGATGAGCCTCCCCCAGGAGAGAGAGAATTCTTCCTCCCTGATGACTGTCGAACTGCCTTCAGACTTGAACCCAGAAAGTGGCTCTTCCTGGGTCTCGGAGTCTTCAGACTCAGGCTAAATTGGTTCTCCTGGGCCTCCAGCTTGCCTGATACCTCTGTAATCATGTGAGCCAATTCCTTAGAGTAAATCTCTTTCTCTACATATGCATGCCTCCGGTTGACTCAGCCTCTCTGGAGAACCCTACTATAATCCTGAGAAATGAAATGAGTTAGCCAACCTCCCTGATGAAAGCCAGACCTGTCACCAGCTTCAAATTCAGGAACCTTGTGTGTTTTAGGATGAAGAATGCTCCGAGCTTTCGTGCACCTTTCAGGGGCCTGCTTGAAGCCCAGAGGAGGACGCCCACCCAGGGGACTCTTGGGGAGACTCAGGGATGGGCAGATTAATAACGAAGGAGAGTGCTTCAGATTCTGTGTCTTCCTCTCCCTCTGCCCCTCCCTTGCTCGCTCTCTGCCTCTGTCTCTCAAAATAAAGACACTAAAAAGAATTAAAAAATAAAATAACGAAGGAGAGCAATGAGAGCCCAGGACCCCTGGAGCCCGCCTACTTCCCTGAACAATGACTTCATGCAAATCAGAAAAACCTTCCTTATCTGCTGGATAACGGTCACGCCAAGCGTACAGATAGGTGACAGTCACAACGTAAAGGCATCCCCTGCACAACTGGGCTCCTGACTCCAAGCGGACAAATGCAGGCAGACCCTCAAAAGACCCCATGAAATTTATAAGACACCAACCAGAGCCGTGGCGGTCAGCCTTGACATTGAAATCACCTGGGCGTCAGCCCGGCCATCCGGGCATTTCAGAAGCTGCCCAGAAGGCTCTGATGTGCGGCCAGGGTGAGCACCACCGGCTGCCTGGGGCTGGCACTCCCTGACACGTGCCCGGCGAGGTCTCCTGAGCTGTTTCGTGGGAGGGTCCTGCCCGGGGCCCCTGCCCTGCCCTCCCCTCCAGTGTGGGAGCATTTCATGTTGGCTTAAGAGGTGTCTGCATCAGAGCCGCTCCTCGGGGAGGAGGGAGGAAGCCCTCGCAGAGGAGGGGGTGGGGAGGGTCTGGAACTAAAGAATGGAGCTTCTAGAGCTTTGGCAAGCTGGCGTGACGCCCCCTCTGCTGTGTCAGAGTCTGATGGCCCAGCAGGTGTCGCTGTTGGCTCAGGCACCATCAGTGGGGGGAGAGGGCTTCCATCCCAGGAATGCTTGGGGGAGGGGCGGGTGGGGCCCAGGACCCTGAGAACCCCTTTGGGTGTCCTGGCCTGTTGTTTTGAGTGACCTTGCTTTCCATCACTACCTGTCATTCGTGCCACAAACGCTGGTCACCTGAGGGATGGAAGGGCTCTCTGTGTGGCCCTGCTGGGGGTATAGAGATGAATGAATGAGGCATGTTTCCCTCACACCATAGGAAGCCTGGAAAATGCCAGAAACCTCACAAGCAGCCCCTTGCTTCTCTTCAGGGACTCTCTCCTTCCACGTTGCCTGCAAAAAACAATCTCCGGGGTTCCAGCTTCTGGGCCATGAGGGGCCAGTGAGTCGTGGGCATTCCTGTTCAGGCCCAGTGTGACCCTCCCC